CGTCATCAAATTTCAATGATATGTATGTTCTTTGGGTTTTTGTTTATCTTTTTTGTCCCATACCATGTTCGGTTGATGTTTTCATCTTTCATTTCTATTTCATGATTAATCAACATGAGTGAGACATACTTCACTCATTTTTGAAATTTCTTCTGTCTTATAATCATTATTGGAATTGTAAATGTGAGAATGCTTTTGAAGACCAGTATACGAAGGTCTTGTAAATGAAGGATGAAACTTTTATTTATATACATATAAGTTCTGTATACACCCTCATTTATGGGTATTAAATTGGAACCCTGGTAATATACTGAATGTCTGAAATAAATAAATAAAATGAATGCGTAGTTTTCAATATATTGTAAGAATGGAAATATTATTCACAACCATGCTGATAATTGAAGTTAAAATTAATAAAATCTGTAATTTCTTCTTAGCTCTCTAATGCTGAAATAAGATAATATCCTGTTACAAAGAAACTAATTCTGTGGTGGTTGTCTGAAATTTCTTCTGCCTTACGAACATTGCTAAAGATATTCCTGTGTACGAGTAACTTAATATGAGTGTCTTTTTGACATTGTTATACCAGTGTTTCTTTTATTGTGTGCACATCATAAATGGTATCTTAATAGAAAGTTTGAGAACAAATGTTGGAATCAATAGCCATCACTTAGCATGCAAGATTAGAAATTTTGAACTGGTTTCTTTATGAGTGTGAGAATCCCATGTAGTTGTACCTTGGATAAGAACCAGAGTTATTACAGTCTTTAAGACATGATTTTTGTGTTGAAACAGTTTTATAAAAGCAAGCCTATTCTTTTGTATGCCAGTTACCCAACAAGGGATACTTTGGATTGATAATTCTTCTTAGTCTGACCTTCATGTAATTAAGAATCCACCATAGAATTATTAAGAACTTCTGATCAAAAATAAGCTAGCTATGTACAACAGAACTAAAAGAGCAGTAATACAAATGGTCTAAAAATACTCTATGCTGTAAGTCACCATACCGGAAGACTAAAGCATTTAGTATTTGCAGTGTTTTGAGCCCTCAGCTGAGTGTTATCTCTTTTAATGACTTTTTTGGTTATAATCTCAGTAATATCTCCTTGAATTGTAAACAGAAAAAAAAAAGCTTCATATAGAAACTATTTACTAACTAATGCTTTCCGTTCCTGTAAGATAAACTACATTAACATGACTTTTAGCCCTTAAAATAGTCCTGAATTGAGTCATTATTCAAACTTTATCATAGCTGCATTGTAATGCTAGAACAACAGTGTGCATTACAAAATAAGAATGTTGTGACTGTTGTCATCAATATTGCCAGCATTATTAAACATTCCTTTGATAAAGACACTGCAATCTGATGCTGAAAAACAATGCCATCCATGCACATTGAGCAAAAAATAATGTATTGAATTGTTTTACCATTAAGAAAAAGTGTTTTCTATGCTTGATAAACAGGAGTTCCTGTCAGCAGTCTACACCACTGATTTGTCTTCAACATGTGAATTTCTAGCAGAGGGTTTTTCATTAGGGTTGAATCAACACATTTAAATTCATTATTACAACCATACTAATATAACAGGAGTCAAGTTGATTAAGTTTATTGAGATTTCAAAATATATATTTTATTTTTTTAATTTCATAGCCATTTTTACATAAACTGCATTTAGTTAGTAAGGATGGAGTCTGTATCTAGCAGAAAAACTTTAACTATGGATTTTCAGTCCATTATAGCAATGCTGTTTCTGAATAGACACTTTTGTCCCTTTTTCTTCTTGCTTACATTTTTATCCAATATTTCAGTATCAGGTGCCTTTTCACTGTTGGTTTATAGTTGAATACTTGTCACATTTCTTTAGAAGTTCCACACAAACTGTAGTGTACCAGGAAAATCTTGTTCAGTTATGTATAGATTGATAGAGTATATCTGTCTATACAATATTTCCACCATGTACTATGAATAATTCCACTCTGTAAGTATGATCTGTAGGTTCTGAACGGCTGTCAGCATGTGGAAAAGAGCCGAGTGCCTGAAGTGAGCCACTGTTCAAAACTTCTTGGCTATGGTAACACTCCCTACTGACTGGAAAAGCATATCAGTAGGTGAAAACTATCCAACTAATCCATTATTCTTACAAGATTTCTGAAAAACTTTAAATGCTAATAGTCAGGTTTCGATACCCACAGTGGACAGAGCACAGATAGCCCATTGTGTAGCTTTGTGCTTAACAAACAAACCTAATGGCAATGTTTTGATCACTGGATAGTTGGAATTATCAAACACTAATTTTGATCACTGGATAGTTGGAATAATCAAAAACACTATTTGGTTATTTTTATGGCACTAATTCATAATTGATGCTCATAGGCAATCAATTAATCAGTTTTTTCACCCAGCCCTAGATCTGAGTAAATCCTGTGTTTTCTACCTTGAAATAAGGTTTAAGTAAAAGTGTGGAGACAGCTTGACTGGGTAATTGAAAAAACTCTACTGTAAAATGTATGACATTTGACAATATTATATCATCCTCAGATACAAGTAATTTACAGAGACACATGAATATATATATATACAATATGGAACATAGAGGTCTCTTGTGACCAGATTGCTTCACAGTCTAGTATAGCTATTTTGGTACCCCGGAGTGTTGGTTTAGAGTGGGGCTGTTTTACTCAATTAAGATAGCTTCCTTTATTCTGCATTTATTTCTAAAAAAAAGTGGGTTCCTCGTCATCAAATTAAGATAAGATTTATTATCTAGTGCCATCATCTTACCATTCAAAAAAAAAGAGCGTGTGTTTGCATATTTTAGTTTTTTCAATTGTATCTTTTAACACCTATTTTTTTTTAGAGAAAACTTGAGAAAGGAGGATACCTTATATTTGAAGTGGTTGAGGAAAACAATTTTTACTGTATGATTTTCAGTGTTTTGATGACATCAGTGGCTTCAAACCTGAACTTCTTTATTACATCAAAAGTTATGCTGACCCTTTTATTCAGTGAAGTACCTGTAGGTAAAAACAAAAATAGAACAAGTTATAGTATACTGTGATAGTACAAGGTTGAATAATACTTACTTGTGTAATATCTGTGGATTAAATATTTGATGATGGTAGTTATATCCAACTACTTAAAAGTAGGTGAATGGTATTATTTCCAATGAAAACATTTTGCCTGATAGTAGGGAGCCAAGATATTCAGATTTAGCTATCTTTCCAACCCCAATTCTGTTATTTTACTAAGAAAAAAAGTGTTTGAAACAAAGTATTTATAACTACTTGTTTATAATTATTTAGTGATTTATTAAAAGTGTTAAACTGTGTACACAAAATGTTTTTAAAAAACAGAATACATGTATTGAATGCCATTATTAAGTTCTGTTTTCCATCAGGAAGTACTAACAAGAAGAAATGTATTAACCACCAAAAAGGTTAACATTACTTCTTATAGTGTTTGTTTTTGTCACATTTATACAACAATTGCTGGCATGTATAATTTAATTTTGTTGGACTTTCAAGAAAGTTGTGGTAGACATTTCCTCCCTGTGACTGTGAAGAGTGAGTTTAAAAATTTCCTTCCTCCTACTGGGAATAGTTATTCTCAAAACTTTCTTCCCTGTGAGAATGAACAGTCAGTTTCAAAAATTCCTCTCTTGTGACTGTAAATAGTCAGTTTCAGTATACCATGAGATGTTAACTAATGTACATTCTAATTTTTAAAAATTAGTAATTATTAATATTTCATAGCAATGAATCTTGAAAAGTAAATGTTACATCCTTGATTGATGTAAGATTTTTTTTTGAAATCTTTAAATATGTTAGAAATTATGTTTAGTTGTGATTTGTTTCCTTGAGAAAATTGTGCAGTAAAACTTGGGTATATGTTATACTGCAAACAGTATGCCTAACATTTATATAACCAAATAGATATTAGAAATAACACTGGAACATATTTTATTATACAAGCAGAAGACTGCAATTCAACATTGGTACATTTTCTACCCTGTTATTGTTAAAATAAGATACAAGATGTGTTTGAACACTTTAATTTAATTTCTGTTGTATGTAACAGAATATTGTATTTTGAAAAGCTTGTTTGGTAAGAAAAACTTTTTCTGTGTAAATTGCCACACTTGTAGCAAGACATAAGTAATATTTTTCACAAAGTGGGTAGCCTTTGAGGACTAGAGAAGTTTTGTTACTCACTAGCAGTTATTAAGTGAAGAAGAAAAAACACTTCAGCAGAGTTTCTGTACAGGTAGCTCTTTGAAAACTCTCTTGGTTTCTTGTTCAAAAAACAATTTAATAATTCAGAACTTTCAACCTCAAAATTAATTCATCACATTAGAGATACGTGTATATTTTGAAGTACTACCACAAAAAATGTAATAAGAGTTTGATACTAAGTAATTATATTTTTCAGAATGTCTATTTTGACAAGAATACTCTGTTCCCCTAAATAAGGAATGTCCAGCTTTAATGGATATTTGGAAACAATATATGGTTTGTTAGCAGGGGCTGTTCTATTTGTCAGGAAATGTGTTTTAGTTTTTAATAATATATATATTTACAAGGTTTAGCCCTAGGATTGCTACAGTTTTTCATGTGACAATGAAATTGACTATTTTAAATTTAACGAGCATCCCTAAAAACTGGTTAGAGCAATATTGCTTAACCGTTTCACTATTGTGAACCATACATACTTCCCATGTACAGCAGTTACTGTCACATGTTGGTTTGTTATAGAAGCTCAGGTTAAACCAAAATATTTTAAGTACTGTTAATATGTCAATCGATAGATTATAGGTTATTTCAAATGAAGTACTTTTCTTTTTTGTTGCTCTGAAGAGGTGGTATATACAACCTCAGCAGTAGTTGGTGGATTTGAATGAACAGCATTTGAAGACTATGCTGTGTTTCATTAATTTGTCTAACCTATGTGATTGGGGAAAAAAACAT